AGTCTGAGGAAAAATGAGTCCAATGGCTCTCTTTGATAAAATTATCATATTGCATGGGAAACAACTTACAACAATGTAAACAAATATGTAAATGTATAAGTATGATTTATAAAGGTATCTAATATAGGAGATATAATAATGTTAAGACTATATGTCTCAAGTGGATTTTTCTTTTGGCTAAATGATCCATGTACATGGCTTCAGAATACTTTTGGACTTACTTTTGAAAATGTGTATACACAGTCACTTTACAAACCACATTTTCACTTCTCTGTGAAACTGCACATATGATATTGCATTTTGAACACAACTCAGTGAGCAAGACATTATGTGCAGAAAGTATCAATATATTAATAGTAACTATGTGTGTGAATTCACTTATAATCCTATAATGTAGATAATAACCTGATATGTTTGTGGTAATAAAGCAGAACTGTTAAGTGTTAAAATGATACTCTTAAGCAGTGTCTAAAATTATTTCAAAAAGTAAGTGATTACCTAAATGGTTAACCTTTAATTCAAGAAGGTTTTTCAAAATAAATGATTCACCAACTTGTTTTGTATACACACTAAAGTTTGGAAGATATTTTCTAGTCTAGGTTAGAACAATGATTCACAAACTGTTATGAAACAGAACTATCTGTATGGCTAATTAAAATATGTCTGGCAGGTGAAACTTTGTATTTCTACTAATATCCCAAGTGCAGCTGCTGCTACTGGCCCAAAACAAGCATTTTGAGAACCATTGCACTAGACAGATGGGTGAGGTAATTCTCGTGTATATAAAGAAACTGAATTAAGGAAGGAAGGAAGAAAGAGAAAGAGAGAAAAGGAGGAAAAAAGATAAAGAAAGAGAAAACCACTGAACAGGACTATGTTCCCATTAATATTTAAATATGAAAATAAAGCATTTCAATTAGCTTTGGGAAAATTTTTAATGATGACATTCAAAACAGTATTATAGTAAACAAAATTTTATAAGAAGAATATAATTCAATAAATGTTACCATTACATTTTCTAAAAAAATGCATTCTAGAGCAAAAAATAATAAAAACATATAAATCTCAATGTGATGTAAGTGTATCAGAATGTTGGAAGAATTTTAGGAAGTGATAATTGAAGATGGATGCAAAATTCTATTTGCAAGATGTAATTTGCTAGTGGAACATAACAGGGAAATTACAACACACCAAATATTTAATAATTAAAAATATTTATTGCACAATATTCAAATAATAAATATTGTAGAAAAGAAATTGAGAAAATAATATTCATATTATTTAAAACAATGCAAAATAAGAGGTGTTTAAATTATATTAAAATTCTTTGAATTCATAAGTGGAGAACATTCTTTTACATTTTATTTTCAATTTTGCTTTTATGGGGATTTAATTACACCTACATCTCATAATTTAAACTGCAACACTCAAAAATGTGAAAATATTATAAAATAAAGAAAGAAAAGGAAATTATGACACTTACAGGAGGGCCTTTTGGTCCAGGAAATCCAACTGGACCCTGAGGTCCTTGAGGACCCTGAAAGTAAAGAGTATAGGAAGCTTAATGATATGCCTGGAAAGAGACACCTCCACGCCTTATGGCTTATTTATACAGTTAAAATACAGAACAACATACAGCTTCTTCGCAGTAGTGACAAAACTATGGTACTATGATACGATAACTAGTACTAATAGAAAAGCAAAATAGTTTTTTACTACTTAAAATTGTACATCACAGGAGCACTGTACGTATTACTAGAGTTCATATAAAAAACTAATAGAACAATAGGTAGCAATAAGTTCCACAGATTTTTTTTTTTTTACTTTGAATGTTGGCTATAAACATTCATAAAAGGAAAATTTCAATTCAATGCCATACTTCTCCAAAGGAAAAATGTGTTTAAAAGTGACTCCATAAATTTTCTGGTGCTAGTTAGTCACAAATAAAAGGGAAAATAAGGGGCTGAGGCTGTGGCTCAGTGGTAGAGCACTTGTCTAGCATGTATGAGGCACTGGGTTCCATTCTCAGCACCACATATAAATAAATGAATAAAATAAAGGCCCGTGCATCTAAAAAATATTTTAAAAAGGGCAAAAAAGTATCTCAAAATAATCATAAAAGATATCTTCAATATTTGTAGATAAAATGTATTTATTTTTGAGGATGTTACTATCTCATTTTACTCATGTATAAACTTCTTTGGTAGAAAGATAAAAAGAACTTTATTGTATAAGTACTCTCATTAACATTCAGTCTAAATATGCTTTTATAATATTATTCTAGGCTTGATGTTTAATTAACAATATTATTCAACTTTCTTATTTACATATCTTTAAAATGCAGGAAGTAGACTCTATTATGATGATTGTGTTGGTGGCAAAAAAAAATTGGTAAAAGTTAATTCTGTGTATGCCAGAATGTAATAATTGTATTCATAAAAAGAAGATATGTAAAATTAAAGATAATATAAATAAAATTTAATAAGTAATACAGTTTTAATAAGATTTATCTACATTCTAAAAGTTTATTAGTGTTGGTCTTTAATAGAATTTATTCTTTTAAAGTATCAGTTTAGACTTCTCAGGAAAAATTTCATTACTACTCTTAAGGCAATGCTAGTTCTGCAATAAGCATAAGCTTTTACTATTACCAGCATCTCATTCTGAAATGAAAAGGATTCATCAAATTTATATAGTTAAAAAAATACAACATGAAATTAATAAAATACTGAGAAAATATGTGTAATTTATAAGTTTTTGTACTATCTTTAAACTATGAAAATATGATTCTTAAATATACATCATAAAAAAACTTAAGAAAACAAAACATAGCATTTAAATTAAAAAAATTTTAAATAGTATTTTAAAGCTTTACAGTACTCTCTATTCCCCTAACTTTTTCAGACATATTTGCTTTTTAAAATTTTAATACTTTTAAAATAAAATTTGATTTTAAATTTAAGAAACATTTTCAAAATCACTATTTCAATGAAAAGTTTAAAAAATTGAGCTTGTTTTATAAAGTTCCACAAAAAAATTTTCACATATTTTCCTTATATTAGTCAAATATAGTAGTATCCCCTTTTCTGATTTTACTTTCCACAGTGTAAGTTACTGGTGATCAATTATGTTCTGAAAATATAAAAGAGAAAATACTAGAAATAAACAATTCATTGGTTTAAAATTATGTATTATTTTACACATAGTAAAATTTCATCTCCTTTGGTTCAGAACACCTGGAACATAAAGAATCCCTTATTCAGGGCACTTACACTGTAAATACTACACACCCATTAGTCATTCAGCAGCCATTTGAATTAACAATCAACTGTCATAGTATTGCAATGGCTGTGTTCAATTAAATCTTATTTTACTAAATAAGGTCCTCAAAGCACAAGAATAAGGATGATGGTAATTTTGTTACAGTATGTTATAATCTATTTTATTATTAGTGTTAATAGTTTACTCTGCTCAATTGATAAACTTTATCATACATATGTAGAAAGTATAGGGGGGAAAAACATAGTTTATATAGAGTTTGGCACTATCTGCAATTTCAAATACCTTAGAGTCCTGAATGTAACCATGGCAGGTACAGGTAAAGAGGGACTACTATAGTTTCTGGGTAAGGTAAAAAAATGTTTAAAGAATCAATGTAAAGACTGTGTTTGTACCCAAGTACGAAAACTGTATAATATATCTAGCGTCTAGTTAAATTTTATTATTAGACAAATAATGAATAGTTTTTCACATCCCCTAAATATTACAAGGGGCATGCATATGCCAAAATTACTCACTTTTTAAGTAGAATTCAAGCGTAATTAGATATGTTGGTTCTGTTATATTTTGTTTTGTTTTGCTAAATCTGGTAACCTCAGACCCAATTAAATCTAACTTTTTTTTAATATTTATTTTTTAGTTGTAGTTGGACACAACACCTTTGTTTTATTTATTTATTTTTATATGGTGCTGAGGATCGAACCCAGGGCCTTGCATGCGCTAGGCGAGCAATTCTACTGCTGAGCCACACCCCCAGCCTGAAAATGAATCTTTCTAGATTCATATTTAAAAAAGACAAAATTACCCTTTGCTTTGATTCTCAAAATATATTTTTCCCACTCTCAGAGTGTTTTTACAATTACAAGTATTCGTACTGTTGGATCTAACCACTATGTTCAAATTAAAATGTGAAAACATTGAAAGTGTATTTATAAGCTTGGGACCTGTCTCATTTGCACATATGAGGACCTGGGTTTGATCCCCAGCACCATGAAAAGCAAACAAAAAGAAAACAAAAAGCATATTTACTTATAAAGAAACATGTTGATTGTTCAATTCTGGAATGTATAAATAAAGCACTAAAAGAGAATATAGTCTGTTCTTTAAAAACAAAGATCAGTGTGCTACAATTTGTTAAACTATTCCAATTTGTTTAGTGATTTGGCCAGTTTAATTAATCTAATGTGCTGAATAACTGTAATCATCAAATATGTCCATTATTAACTCAAAAGGTACAGAATGAATGGACTTGATTTGGGAATAATTCATCAAGAATGAGAAATGTTAGGAAAGTTTAATTAAATATGAGCCAAAATCAGAAAGTAACTAATTATATATTTATTCTTACATCATATGTACTCACATTTTTGTCATATATAAAAACTAAGTTTTACTCACTGTTTCTTTTTTGAAGTAACAAAACTACTCTTTCTCAGTTTTCCTTTTATAAAACACCTATCATAAGTTTCAAATAATAATCAATAAAAATACTAACATGACTATATAATATCAAAAGCTATTACAGATACTAAGAAGTAATTCTAATAGCTTTGACTATAATACAGAGGATAGCATTAAAAAAAATCTGACTCATGCAAAACAGCATTTTGCCAAAAAAGCCAAACAAAGGGCACGCTTGCTCATCTGTATTTTGCTTTATTTTATATCAATTGAAAATCAATTTACTAAATAGTTTTTCTATTTACTGGAATAGATGTTTTGTCTTGAGTTAAATTTATATTGATTGTGGCTTAATGGCCACTGGTAGCTTGCATTCTACCAGCATAATTTTGCTGCCAGCTCCACAGACAAATTGAGTATTAATATGGAAAACAAGACAAGTGGATGAGAGGGCATAGGTGTTTTAAGCACATTTTAAATAAAAAATTTACATTGGCTTGAGTTTAAGAGTAATATCTTAGGCCAATTACATTATTTCTCTCATTTCTTTAATAAAATTAGTTGCATAT